CCCGCGATAAGTTGCCCAGCCACTGCGCCAAGAGGTATTCTATGAAGCACACCCAGACGAAGCACACCTGTCGCGGAGAACCTAACGGGTAACCGGGGCTCCGGCTCGACGTGCAGGAGAAGTAACTGGGTGGTTTTTAGTCAGTAAGAGTCTGACACTCCCTCCCGCCTCACCCAGGCGGGAGCAGGCATTCGATGATTTTCCCCCCTTAAAAAAAAAAGACGAAGCACACCTAAGGTATTCCACTTAGCACACCCCTAGGTGGGCTTCAAATAATTAATTTCATATTTCACGAAGCACATCTACGATTATCACTCGCATAGTGCGGAAACAAGGAAATAAACATTTCAGTAGAAGGAAAAAATCCGGGCTAATAATGGGCATTTTACTCACAAAATACCAGTACCAATTTTTGGTTGGCGCGGAAATCGAACCCGTGACACTTTGCAATGCAGTCGGTCATCCAACCAATGCGCTAACCGTGCAGTCACCTACTTATTACTTCCTTATTGTGTGTACTTAAATACTCATTTCTACAAAAAATCTATATCGATGTCGGTCAACGGAGGTTATCTTCAACTAATAGGTAAGGTCTAACGACAACAACGTCATAGATAACTTCAACGTCTCATAATCTTTCGAAATAGTTATTTAGAAATGTCTACCAATGAACAGGAAAGAGAAAAGATTTCATAACTTGCCTTCTTGCGTTGGATTTTTTTTTAAATCATCGAATGTCTTCTCCCATCTGGGTGAGCCGGTAGGGAGTGTCAGACTCTTACTGACTAAAAACCACCCCGTTCCTACTCCTGCCCTTCGAGCCGGAGCCCCGGCAACGCGATAAGTCCTCTGCGGCTCCGTATCGGCATCAGCCATATTGAGCCCCATCTGTGGAGGTCTGATGGCTCTTTGAGGCGCGCGCGGAACGCGACATTGGATAGGCTCTGAAACTGATGGCCTGCTCAGAAAAATCACGCTCATCATCATCAACCTATTTTCGTCTACTGCTGGACATAGGCCGCGCTACTGGGCGAGATCGTCAAATCTACACATCCAAGTGATTGGATGCGTCACCCAATATCATAATTCGCTTAATTTTCAAAAAGTGTGGCCTAGACTGCTTTATATCCTAGTAACCTACACTTTTTAATTTTACCGGAATACATTTTTAAAATAGAAATGTTAAAGCTGTTAAAGTACTTTGTTTGCTAAATCCGAAGATTAAACAAGAAAGTTTTTTATATAATAGGAGGCAAACGAGCGTATCACCTGGTGGTAAGCGATCAGCGCCACCCATGGACGTCCCTGCAACACGGGATCCGTCTTATACTGAGGCCCCTTTGGAATATTTATCTTTTTTGAACGTTGCCCCATAATAGGATTTTCTCCTGTATGTATGGTGAGTTTATAAACATAAAATACACCTACAGATGACACCCAGACCCGAAACACCAATTTGTGTTCTCACACAAAGATTTGCTCCGTGCGGGAATCGGACCCGCTACATATTACGCGGTAGCCAGTTGCCGCTCAACGTACGGCAGGTGTATGTCCACTTCTTCGGGGCCCAGAGATGATGGCCTAGGCACGAACCCTGTGTGTCTTTATGGTGTAGACGGTACTGGCAACACCAGAGGAGTCAAAGATGAGTTGCCGGCCTTTTAAAAAAGAATACACTCTTTTCTTGAAGGTTTGAAGGTCGTATCGATTCGGAAATACCGCTGACGACAGATCATTCCACAGTTTTGCGGTTGCACTTATATGTAGTTAGTAAATCAAAACAATCTTCGAGAACATTCTTCTAATATTTTTATCAATATCACTAACTCAATAAAAAATGTCCCACTTTTAGCTAAACTAAACAAGAATGAAATACATAGTATCGTTTAGAGAATGAATTGAATTAACTTCTATAATAAAATCACGTACAATTTTGTAACAATTGTCTGTTAGTGTGTACGCCTTGTTATGCCAATTTTCACTATAGTTAGAAGATTCTAGAAAATTGTTAGTTATATGAACTTGTGTGGAATTTTCTATGATACTGTTTAATAGTTTTTTTTTGTTGCTGCGGTATTGTGTCGCTGTTGTAAACGTTTTTAAAACCTTGCACTTGTTAAATTGTTGAAGGTAAAGAGTAGAGTTCGACGTCTTGGTCGGGCGAACGAACATGTAATTAGTTGCGAGCGTATCAATGCTATTTTAGTTCTTAAGTAACTAACAAGTTAGTTAATTGTAATTATTAAGTATTATGTTAAGCAACTGCTTAACATAATCCTGCCTGGGTGTGGCGGGAGGGAGTGTCAGACACTTACTGACTAAAACCACCCCGTTCCTACTCTTGCTCTTCGAGTCGAAGCCCCGGCAACTCGTTAAGTCCTCCGCGGCTCCCATTATCTGACGTCCAAAGTGACGTCAGACGTGGGCTCAATTCAGCAAAGAAACAATTTGTTTGTGTGGTTCTAAAATAGTTTTGATTGCTTAGTCTGGTCATCTGGTGTGATGCAAATAAAATATTATTTTGACTTCGGCTCTTATAAAATTCCCCTTAACGTAATTATACAAATATGTTGACAATTTCAAATGATAATCTCAATTATTGCAAACATTAATTGATAATAAGACTACGCATACGACTACATTTTCTCTGATCCGGGGTACCTATCACTATTCCTAGAAATCATATCATTATTTACAATGATAATGTTTCTGCTAGGGGGCTTACTCTTCGTCTGAGTTCACGTGACAATCTCCGGCCACCGTGAGCAAGGGCAGCTCGCCGCCCGACCAGAGGCCTTAGTACGAGTTTGATTTACGTCTAAAGTATTCGAAACGAGTACGCGTTCTGGGCTCTGATTGGCCGGCTCAAATGAATCAACCAATCAAAGCGCCGAACGCGTACTCGTTATGATTACTTTAAACGTAAAACAAACTAGTACTAAGGCCTCAGAACCAGACCCATACGTACAGCGCGTCACGTTCCGCACGCGCATCAAAGAAATAACGCCTCAAAGACATAAATGGGGTCCAGTAGGGCTGATTCCCGAGGCCAAAGGCCAAACGGGTTGCCGAGCCGGAGCCTCGGCAACCCGTTAAGCCTTCCGCGGCTCCGGCTCGAAGAGCAGGAGTAGGAACGGGGTGGTTTTTAGTCAGTAACTGTCAGTAAGAGTCTGACTCCTCGCCAACCCAAGGCGGGAGAAGTCATTGGATGATTTTCCCCCTCAAAAAAAATGGGGCTTACTCTCGATTCTATTGAATCCAAATCCGATCGGTCGACATTGGTATTGTAAAATTTCGTACTCTTGAGTTGCAATACTAGACACCATTGTATAAGTATTGCCTAGATATTTAATGTACTCAATGGTATTGAGTTTGGCTTTATATTCTGTACTCTGAATGCTATTTTAACTTCTACAAAAGGGGTTGTATAGTTTTGATATTGAATAATTATTGAGATTTTATTGGATTGAAATTGCATTGACATGTAGATTGGTTTGAAGAGTAAGCACTCTGGTCGCGCTGGTCAAGTGGTCACTGGTGCGGCTATCGAGCTGGAGGGCCTGCGTGTCCGGGCCGGGCAAGGTTATTATTAGGATGTTTTCGGTTTTCAATAGGCCGGAGTTTGGAATTGTGCCTGATATGTGACAACATAAGGTCATCCCCTATTTAGAGATCATGAGTTTGAAACAAGTAGCCTATGTCTCAGGTTCGATTACTTACACGTAAAACTAAAGCCCCTATCAAATACCTATTCCATCTTTATATAAACATTGTTGAAGTAACATTTATCATAGTTACATCACTTTATGAACCAAGAATATAGACTTATAAACATGTTTTGATAAACTATACATTTCTAATGAAAACAGTTGACTTAGGTCAGAATACTAACGGTATTTATCTTAGAAAGATTCTCCTCATTTCATCCTCATCATGTATTAGTTAAGATCTAAATAAATATTAAGGTGTATTGTAAACTTGTTTGTGGTATCAATATAAAGTGGTGGTAGCAATATAGTTTTCGGCTTACTCACGTAATTATTTGACGAAGAACTCGACTCTGCTAGTCTAGACTAGCTATATAATTTTTATATAAATGAAGACTTGTCATTGGCTGTCAGACTCTCACACAATTTCTTAATTTTTGTTTTGCTAGCTGTTAGTCTTCCAAAGTTGTTATATAAATAAATAATAGTAATAATTTAGAATGTCCCACGAAATTTATAACCCAATTAAAACATGTTTTTGAGTTACTCACGTAACTGTTAGACGAGGAACTCGACTAGTTTCAAGCTTAGCTAGAGGCTCATATTCATGAGCAGCATTCCGCGACCCGCGAAGCGGCGACTGTCGCGCTGCTACTGAGTAAGCCGAAAACATAATAATTAATTTAGTATGTCTCAAGAAACTAAAATATTTAAACCTTAAAAAAAATAACAAAAATAATATGTGTTATTTTTAGTAGCCTATATTTAGTAGCTGCTTTTTAACCTATAGGAACGTGGGCAACGCCGCTCGTAGTAAAAAATAAAGCATATAAATCAATGTTATAACTTATTTAATTAACAATCACAGATTAATTAATCAAATACTTACAATAACTTAATCGATTACAACCTCATTAACTGTCGTATAAATTACATTAATGTTAATTTACATTTACAATATCTTTAAACTTTATGTTAAAGACTACTTACATAGCAACTCGAGTACACGTGTCAAAGGGATAAAGCTTAAAATAAATTCAATGTACCTAATACCTACAAAATATATGTATATTAAATATTAGGGCTACTGTGGACGACGTGTCATTTGACGAATGCATGCAACCTACAAACGACGATAGGCCTACAAAATAAGACAAATGCTTGCATCGCACTTTTTTAAAAGAGTAACGAATGGAGTTTCTTGCTCGTTCTTCTCCATTCGAATCTATGTTTTGGAATGAGCACCTAGCTTCACCGACGGACTGACTGACAGACTAATATTTATTTTGTATTTGTTGACGTTTCAAAAGTACCAAACTATGGTTTAATTGAAATAAATGCTTTGACTTTGACTTTGACTTTGACATCTTGCTCTGATACAATGGAAACTAACGACGCGGATACGACAAACCCGTCTATCATCATTTGACGAAAGCATGCATTCTTCAATTGACGCGTCGTGCTCAGTAGACCTGAAGGATTAATTTTTACGCCGCGAAAAGCAAATTTCGCGGTTTTCGTCATTATCTGTAATACCATAAGAATTTTGAAAATAATCGTGCTAATATTATAGTTAGATGTGAAAGTTTCTTTGTTTCGGTGTTTGTCCGTAAATCTCGCGATGAAATTTGGTACACAGGAAGGGTATGGGCTGACTTAGGTGGAACTTTTTATCCCGATTAAATGCTCCCATGGGATTAAACAAGAATACGCGGGAAAGCCGCAGGTAAAAGATAATACTTAATTCTTTACGTGAGCCGAGTATCAAATCTGATACCGTATATTGAGTGTACATGTGACCACTCGAACAACAAGTCTATAACGTAGTAGTGGAAACATAAAAAAGACATTAAACTAGAAACCGAAATTTCTGAATGAAATTAAAAAAAAAACAAGCATCAAATTAGCCGATTAATGTCAACGAACTATCTGATTGTGCGTCAGTGAACTATTGACACGTTTTTTTTTTTGAAGAAACATAACATTAATATTATGATACCAATTTGGTATCAATTTCTGGAGTATATACTTCATTTTGATCGGAAAATCTTTATAAGACTTTGTGCTATATTGAGTGTAATCTTTCGATCTACCAAATGTACCTCTAGTTTTATAAAGTCCATGTAAAACACTGCATACATAAATAAATAATTAAAATTATGATACTGTAACTACATAATAACATGTGACTTGGAAGGTAAAGATGTGCAACAGACAACGATAATATAACAAAAAAAGAGTCTTTAAAACATTGCAAAATCAACTTTATAACGTATAACACTAAGAAAGTAATTCATAATACACAGTCATTCTATTAAATCCTACGTGTAAAGATATCATTAAAAGAGATATTGTTTAAAAGATAAAAATAATATTCAGAGAGCAACAGGACTTTGAGCCCTAGAAGGTAGGCGTATAGATCATTATTGCATTCACTGAGATATAAATCAAGATAATTCCTTCCTTACAACGATTATATGAAAATATATAATTAATACAAACGTTATATAATCTCACTTCTTAGTTCCTACTTACTGTAAACATTTGTACTGAGTTTATTACTGACAGGTCACGGTTACATTATACGCCAGCGTATTAAAGGCGGAATTATATTCTAATAAGTGGCTAAATCACATTAGTATCTATCAACGACACATCAGTGATAACATCTCTCACAAACCTCTTCCACCTTTCATTGAACACTTTCAGAAGTCTCGATTTACCTTCATCGTCCAGCGCACTGTACGTGATCGAGTTGAGAGCGAGCTGCTTCAACATCCTCAGGTCCGCGTGCTTACTGGCTACACCCATGAACGCCACAAAGAAGTCATGAGACACTGGCTCCGCGCTCCAAGCGCCAGGATCGTCACTGGACAGCACTACAGGTGCACCCATAGCCAGGTACGAGGCCAAGGGATGGTTCCTAACATCGTGCACTAACGACAACACCACGTTGGAGATCACATTCACTTCCAAAGCAATGTCCTTCTTCATCACAGCTGACATCAGAGACGGGTGCTTCATTAAAGCGTACCCGTGACCTATTCTCTTTGAACCTAGAAGAATTGCGTCCACCAGGTTCTCGTCAGCAGAAGTTCCTAGCCAAGCTGTCTCTCCAGCATGTAGATAGAAATTTATATCGCCTTTTGCTTCAGATAACGCAGGCAGAAAATCTGTCAGTGGTCTGCCAATGTCTTCTTGACCTACAAGGTCGAATCCTGCTATCATATCTGGTTCCTCAACTTTTAATCTTCTCGCCATATTCAAAGCCTCCAGCACTTGGTCGATACTTTGAGCTCTGTGTTTTGTTATTATCAGTTTAACACCGATGAAATCTGGATGAGTCTCAATGAATTTTTCAGTCACTCTCTTGTAGAGATCAAGTAAATATTTCCTGCTGTGTTTCGTGCCATCTAATTCGTATAAACTCTGTAGACCGGAACGAATTTCGATATACATAATGTTATCATCATAAAACTGTTGTAACGTTTCATACCAATACTTTTCCCGCACGGGTCGGTATGAAATTAACGATTTAATAGCAAAGTACACTTTATCGAATCTCTTCCAGACTGTGTTGATGTCCACGAAATTATAATCTTCGCCGTCATCTTTATCAAGTGTGAAATATTTCTTCAATTGTGAATCAAAGGCCGCGGGATCACCGGAAGAATTCCTGAGTTCGCTAACAAGATCCCACTTAGACGGACAAGGTCGGTCTGGGGTCGTCTCCGAGAAATATAATCGCAGATCGTCATGTGAGTAGCACGCGTACAAATGATCTTCATACGTCAATTTCACTAACACATTAGCACTTAGCATTAGAGAGCTATGCACGTGAAGCACTGCACCTTTGGGCATCCGTTTTATAATTTGATACACTTTAGATTTTTCTATGTCTTTCTTATATGAAAAGTAGTGTTTAGAAAAGTTGAAATGTTGTGGGTTAATGTAGGACTCGTTGAGCTCGTTCATCTTCCATTTCATTAGTATATCATTAGCTATCGTTTCATCTTCATCGAGGTGTTGTTTTCCACCGACCGCTGTGAGTGTCTCTTCGTCTAGTAGTGCTCTCCTTTCTTGGCTGTAGTTATCTGGGATAATTCTTGCGTCTGCGATAAGGAGACACAAGACAATGAAAGCGGCTAGTGTTTCCATATCTTGTGGACATTCGGCACTCTGTCGTTGTGTTCACGCCTCGGCCGATACTATAGAACTGTGCGGTCCTCTCGTTTATATATGTCGTAAAACATTTATTGTTGAGTGGATAACCAGTGGTTAATGAACGCTTGGGTTTGTAGTAGTGTGTCGCACTTAGTTCGTATTTAGTTTAAAATTATACGTCTTGGAAGATTTTAGTTGTTGTTTAAGACGAAAAAATCTGATGCCAATTTAATCGATTCGAAGAGTACTATTATTTTTTTGTATTTGTTATCTTATAAAAGACTAGATAGTTATTTATGTATGAATAACGATTCGAAGAAAGTCCGTCCGGTGTGTGACGAAGTTGGGGAAAGAACTTGCTGTTTTTTTTTATATATAGGTACTACAACTTTAGGATGACTTCATATTGTTATTATGTTGGACTGATGATAACAGTCTTTCGACTGTCCGATATGGCTACACGATCGGCTGAAGTAACGTGTTGCAATTTTGATTCCCAAAAAGATCAATTGTTTGTGTGGTCCACCATTTGTGTAAGTTATATGTAAAATAAGTAAAATATGTTAAATAATAAGTTGGTAAACGCACCCACGATAAAGGAAAAATCCTAGTGCAGAGCAAGGCTTTAAAACACAGAAGATACTGTTTTTATTTTAAAAATATATATAAAAATCATCCAAATATCTCTCCCGCCGGGTGAGGCGAGATGGAGTGTCAGACTCTTACTGACTAAAAACCACCCCGTTCCTACTCGCGCTTCGAGCCAAAGGCAATTTAAGTATAACATAACATCACACCGTTTATCCCCGTAGGAGTAGGCAGACGTGCTTTTCATTATTTGTGTTATACGTCCCATGTAATAGGGGGTGAGCCTATTGCCATATACCGGGCACAATTCCAGCCTCCATGCTACTTCTGAAATTTTTTTTAAAACCCAATAATATTTTGCCAGTAGTAGTACTTAGGTACAAACACATAATTTATTCGCTTAATAACTACACATGTCTATTTATCTTGGAATGACAGTTTCTAAATCGTTCAAAGAATTGTTAAATCGAACTCGGAACCCCTTGCCCGGCAGTCACACTTCCGACCACTCGACCAACGATGCAGTCTATGGAAACGTCTAGTCTTTATTATCGCAATAATTGTAATATGGCGTAAAAGTTGTAACAGATGTTCTGATCTCATATTCAGGAAGGTAATTAATTAAAATAACTATACCAGTTTGCCTTGGAGACAAGTTTAATTATTTGCGTATTTAATTATAAATTGGCGATTTATTTATTGGATCTTCTGATGTCGTATAAACATCTCGTCACTGGGTACATACTTCCTGTAAAACGGGTTGGTTCCAAGACCCTATTGTTAGTCTGTCTGCTATTTACTTATGACCCGCGATATCGCAGCGACTGCACGGTTGTGCGGTGACTGGGCAACCGGCTGCCGTGCAACGTGTCGCAGGTTCGATTCCCGCACGAAACAACACTTTGTGTGATCCACAAATTGTTGTTTCGGGTCTGGGTGTTATGTGTATGTGAACTTGTATGTTTGTAAACACACCCACGACACAGGAGATAATCTAAGTGTGGGGCAACGTTTTTTTTTAAAAAAAAGATGTATCAATAAGTAAAATTTTAAGTTCTTTCAGTTATTTCATTTTGTTTTGTATCTGTTGCATGTATCATTTACACTGTGTCTTATATTTAATTTCCTTTTCCTGTCGCAGGTCTGCAGGAAGAAATTCCTTAAGGGATATGCAGTACCTATGTACCTCATGTTTGTAATGTGTCGTCCTTTGTAATATTGTCTGTGTGGTGTAGGTACATGAAATTATAAATAAAATAAATAAATAAAATTGTAATCAAGGGGACGCAAGCGTAACAATTAATCAAGATATTTTTATTCAATTCTATAATACATTCAGGTATTAACTTAACTTCGGCCCTTGGTTGATTTAATTACTGAATACTTTTTATTGATTTGTTTTAATTAACTGATTAAATTGGCAAAGTGTAATTATTTAATTATGTGATTTTTTGTGTACGTAATTAAGCATGGGTAGGGCATGGAATTAAACTATTTAAAGGACCTACCATATTTATTATTATTAATAACAATAATGACGTAGGTTTGGAAGGGTTCCGTAGTAAAGTTTTTCATAATTGTATTTTTTTATAGTGACGAAACTATTGATTGGGTCTCTGATGAATAAAGTCTGCATACAGTCCTATATACATAACATCCTGTAGGCAGAGATGCGCGGAGAACCTGAGGGGTTACCGGGGCTCCGGCTCAAAGCGCAGGAGAAGGAACGGGGTGGTTTTCAGTCAGTAAGAGTCTGGCACTCCCGCCTCACCCAGGCACCCAGGCGGGAGCAGTCATTCGATGATTTTCCCCCCTTAAAAAAAGAGTAAGCAGAGATGCACAAGATTTTCTCCTGTATTGTATAAACTCACAGTTAGGTACAACAACATAATTTATGCGCTTAATAACTCCACATATCTATTTATCTCAAAACAACAATTTCTAAATCGTTCAAAGAATTGTTTCATGCCATTTCAATTGGAACCACTACACAAGCCGATGACTCAGTCTTTGCTCAAATGTTCTTTATAGTAGGGGAGCCCATGAAGGGATTTCGGTAGTTACTCGAGCGCGTCAGATTAACATATGGGGAAAACCTAGTGTCATGTTGAATATACCCAACATATATCCGATCTGATTAGAAGGGGGGGACTGAAAATTAAAAAAAAAGTCTGACTAAATAAAGTCAGTTTCGTCAGATTAAGGGAAGGTAGGTCAATACCGTGCTAAAGGAAGTGCGTTTAAAAAATCTGCCCATTCCAACTTGATTTGCAAGAGTGGGGGGATTTTGAAGGGTTCTCGTTTGTACTCTCCAGAACATTCAACCCCACCATGCAAACTGGCAGATTAAGAGTTTTTTATTATTAAATACACATGGAGCATGTACATTATCAATATCTGACACGCTCGACCATTTTATCAAAAGTTACGCTTAACAATTTCAAAGATCTGTAGATTCCCCCTTCCCCCACTGGTGGAAGAAATTGTCACTAAACCATTTCTTCTTTCTATCAGCATATCTTCAAATCCAGTAGGTCCCAAGGACGCTCAAGTAAATCTCAATTTAGCATCATGGGCTCCCCTACTATTAGATAGAAAATAAACATTTCATTTTAATACACTGACTATGTCTATATTCCCAGAAAACGTATGTTATCTTTCTTCGTGTTTAACTACATACAAGATATAGTTTTGAAACCGTGTCATTTCTCCGGGGCATGTCACAGAAGTCATAAAGGTTCAATGTAAGTAAAAGATTCGGGCCCATAGTTAAAAATACGGCTATAATAAATCGTTTAAGTTCGACAGTGTTTCAGAATAAGCGACAGAAATTGTTCTTATTCGAGTTTTATGGAATTAGGAATAATATCAATTATGTGTTTGAGTATGTGTGTTACGCCGCGTTATAAAGCTAGTTACAAGACGGCGGCGTGTAGTTCACACTTACTTATTTCCGTAATTTCCAGACAAATGAAAAATATTTACCTACAATTTGATTCGTACTCAGAATCGATAGCCGAGCGACCTCCTAGAAAATGACGTGACTTTAAAACAACACCTTGTATAAGATAATTCACTGGAACAGACAATTTTCCCAGAACTCACATTGACTATTAGATTTAACTAATACAATTTATTTTAACTACAATAACAACTTAACAACGTATTTAACTGTTAAGTGACTAACGAACAAAAACTCCTACTGTTATTATATATGTAGATAATTTGTTTGTTTATGTGCAAAAACTTGATAATTTATCATAACAAAAAATAACTTGTATTAATATACAAGTTGAATTTTAAAATTAATGTAATATAACATCACGCCTTTTATCCCTGAAGACCTAGGCTAAGGTGCACATTACGGCACTTAATGCCACTGTACAATGTAACACCCACTTTCCACTATTTATGTTAATATCCCATGTAATAAGGGGCTATTGAAATATACCAGGGACAACTCCAGAGTCCGTTCTAATACTGGGTTTATTTTTTAAATCTCCGTCATATATTGCCCGACCTGGGAATCGAACCCGAGACTCCTTGCCCGGCAGTCGCACTTAGCCAACGAGGCATTCAAATGAGGAAAACTCGTTTTGGTTGTACCTTCTATTTAAACTTGTGCCGAGCAAGCAAAGGGCCTCAATTTTTTTATGAAATAGGAGGCAAACGAGCTGTCAGATCACCTGATGGCAAGCGATCAGCGCCGCCCATGGACACTCGCAACACCAGAGGAGTCACAGGTGCGTTGCAGGTCTTTTAAAACGGAATTCGGTCTTTTCTTTAAGGTTTGAAGCTCGTATCGGTTCGGAAATACCGCCGACGACAGATCATTCCACAGTTTTGCTGTGCGAGGCAGAAAGCTACGTGAGAAGCGCACAGTTGTGGCCTGCCAACCATCTATATGATGGGGATGCATATCGTCAATTTCGATACTTTCAATATTTTAAACTAGGTTTCTGTTTGCAGCTTGACTCGACTGTAAATGATTTCTATAGAGTCCTGAAAACCAAAGATAAATATCGTTTTATTAGCCAAATCATGTCTATACTCGGAATTTTAATTCGATTCCAGATTTGACAATTTCAGTGTTGCAACGTTATGACAGTTACTAAGTAGTGACGTTGCGAAATTATTCGATATGGAAATGCAATATTTCTGGATCGATTCTTCTTGTTTATAATTTTACTCTCGTAAACTAAGTATGTCATGAAATTAAATATTTCTGAACCGATAATTTAGTTTTGACGATTAATTAACGATCTGAGACTTTTCTTTTATAATTGTGTGTGAAATAAATAAAAAAATGTAATCATGAAGGAACATGACAAATAAAACAGATAGATGTATTATGGTAATAAGTTATTTTATAAATTGTCGCCGTCATCGCTATCGCTATCCTGTCACTTTGTGTAACATTTATTATAAAACACACACACTGATTGTTTATCGATTTTTGTGTTCA